AGTAGTAGTAGTAGTAGTAGTGTGTGTGTGTGTGTGTGTGTGTGTGTGTGTGTGTGTGTGTGTGTGTGTGTGTGTGTGTGTGTGTGTGTGTGTGTGTGTGTGTGTGTGTGTGTGTGTGTGTATTACTCTTCCCTCGACCTATGTCTCACGTTGTAACGCTAAATCCATATTGACTCTGCGTCAATCGCGCCAAGCGCGAATTTACGCGTGTCGAACCTGCTCGTGGAATACCATGTGGTGTTGCGAGCCGCGGATATAGCTTTATTATCGTGAATCATCGATCGCACTCTATAGCGCGAGGATACGTAACGTTGTCAACGACTCCTTCTGAATAGGGGAATCGCGCCAAGAGACTCCGGACTTCGCTGGAAAGTCAGGTCCGATACATTCGCATATTTCATTTACATTTGCAGGCATGAGGCCAGAGACATCGTCAGACATGCGGTCGGGGCTAGCGAGCAGGATGCGGTCCTGTTCACTGGTCAAGGCACCGCCGCTGCCCTTCGCACACTTTTACGGCACCTCGATCTCTCAAAATCCACCGTGGTCTTCGTGGGCCCGTTCGAGCATCACGCCAACCTGAGGCCTTGGCGCGAGCTCGATGTCAAGGTAAGCGGACGGCCGCGGCCGCGGCCGCAGATAAATTCGCGTGGAAAAGCCGGGCGGCTGATTCGAGCGCCAGATAAGCCAGGGGCGGGCAATGAAATGCGCGACGGCGAGATGGATCGTTAAAACGGGGCGTGATGGCCGTAGGAGATGCGTGAGAGATCGAACGGGTAACGCAACGCAACGCGGCGTGTAAGTCGGCTCAGAATTTTGACGGCGTGCCAAATATCGCCTCGCCGAGAGAGCGGCCATTCCACCTTCTCATCGCGATCCTGCGCGCCGCGTTATCTGGTTATTCTGGTATTACTTAACGTATTATTTAAATCTCTCCAAAGTCGGGAAATCTAATCGTTAACGAATTGAGAATGACGTATAAATTATAAATTATATTTCTGTGTATTTATAAATTTCTTGATTTCGCTACGAATGAAGTATCTTGAAATATAATACGCGAGTGTGCCGACATCGATTTTGAGGAATCCGTCTCCAATAAATTTCGCGGGAACCTTGGGACATTTCGTATAAATATTTTCAAGGCGCGCGACGATCATATAAAAAAAATGACCCTCAATCTAGAATAGCCAGGATTGACGCGCGATCGCTCGTAGTCGTCTAATCACAGACACGCCCGCCGTCCCATTGTCGAGCGGCGAGCCTTTGATGAAGCAATTGAATTGCCTTGCAGATAGTACGAGTTTCCGAGACCCGGGAGGGCTTCTTGGATCTGAATGATCTCGAACGAGGACTCGCGAGAATGCGGAGCGAGGGCGTCGCACAAATGATCGGATGCTTCAGCGCGGCCAGTTGCATAACGGGGGTTTTGGCAGATGACGTCGCGACGACCCTCTTGCTGCACCAATATGGCGCGCTTAGTGTGTGGGATTACACCACTGCAGGTAATAATCGCGCGATTAAGGAGCGAGAGAGCAGTTGAATCTCCGAGTCGAGACAAAAGGAGCGGCTGATTAATCGGCCGAATGCAAAAAATCAACTGTACTTTGGCTCGCGCCAATGATCGCGCCGCGAAGACATTTGTCGATTTCCGATATGCGTCAGATGAATTACGTCTCATCTGCGTGCGTGTGACGCTCGTAAAATAAATGTCTTCGTGTAACAAAGACAATTAAATATTGTTATTGATGACATAATGATCCTTTACGTAAGCGCGCTCTCGCGTTACATAACGGCCAGATGATAGGCTCGGTATCGGAGATAGGGACATCAATAATTGATGATTGATAATTGTTACCATGTTTCTTCAGCGCCGTACGTCCAGATCGACATGAATCCGCATCTACCCGGGGTCGGGGAGACCGCGGTGCACAAGGACGCGATTATCTTCGCGGGTCACAAATTTATCGGCGGCGTGCAATCGCCCGGTATTCTGGTGACGAAACGATGGCTTCTGCGGGACGACGTCGAGGCGGAGGACATGAGGGACTCCCATCGCTATCACCGTGATCCCGAGCTACGGGATGAGAGCGGAACCGCCGGCGTGGTCGAGAGCATCCGATGCGGACTGGTGGTCCAGCTGAAGGAAAACGTCACGACGAGGGCGATCATCGCGCGACAGGACAAGATCTCACGGTGAGCGATCGCTTCTTTTCGGCGAGATTGGCTTAAGAATTATGTAAAACATCGCGCCACTTTTTCGCGCACCGTCCAGGAAACAAATGCGATCGTTTCGAGTAATTTCTTGCCGCAAATGCCTTCCTGTTTACGAGCGCTTATACCGACTCATAGAAAGCGGCCGAGCGCTCTCTTGGTGCTCTCTTTTTCGTCCGCGGGTCATAATTTCCTTTCGGGTGACTTTGTATGAGTTTGCTGGCAAATTACAGAAGGGACTACGTATACAAATGCACCGACCAACTTTGATTGAAAAGAGATCTTTATTAGATCCGTTGATAGATTTCATATAGTTGTAGAGCGCGATAGTTCAGCGCAATATTAATGATTATCGCTTTCTCTTCAGACAAGTCTTGGCTCATGTGCGCACCATTCCGGAATTGATCCTACTTGGCAGCTCGTCGCAGAACGTGAAGCGATTGCCCATCTTCTCGTTCATGGTGCGCCATCCTCGCGGCAAGTTCCTCCATCATAACTTCGTCTGCGCTGTCCTGAACGACGTCTTCGGCATCCAGGCACGAGGAGGGTGCGCGTGCACGGGTCGTTATGCTCATCATTTGATGGGGATCGATCGGCAACTTGCGAAAGAATATGAAAGCATCCTCTTGGAAGGGTATGCGATATTAATTCTATTATTGCACTTTAGATCGAGGATTATTTATTTTCGACAAAGTCAATTTTTCACATCGGTTAAAATTAATTTTTATTCAGTGGGTTGTCGTTTTAAATGATATGCTAGTTTTTATTTTTTCATATTTTTTCAAGAAAATATGGGACGCGCACACTTGGCGTCACGTTTTTGTAAAACGAGAATTTCGTACTGATTGTATCTTACGCAAATAGCGTTTCTATTATTACGAATAACACGAGGATTATTGGAAATATAAATTTATTCATACTATAATATCGACTTTAATCAGTTCTTTAATCGTTGTTTTTACCGCTTTGCACGGAACAATATCGCTGCACGTGTGAAAGATTACGTGTATCATACGTATCAACAGAATAGGAAGTAGCTGTCTATGAAACTCGGTGCGGTGTAGAATTTTGCTGTAATGGGCACGCATAGAAATAGATATTACGTCAGCCGTCTAACTTGGCGTAGAATTCTATTTTTATAAAAGTATCGTGCACGTGTATTATGCACAATTTATTTTACCCTAGACAACGGACTGGTGTGGAGGAGATCAACGCGGAAGGCCTCAGACCGGGCTTCGCCAGGCTGTCCTTCCCTTACTTTATGAGCGAGGCGGAGGTCGCCTTCGTGTTGGAAGCTCTCAAGATGGTAGCTACCGAAGGGTGGAAGCTGCTGCCGCAGTACGTATTGAATCCCGATACCGGCGAATGGCGGCATCACACCAATAGCGTCTTCAAGGAGCGCAAGTGGTTGGGCGCGATCAGGTACACGGACGGAAAGATGAACGCCACGGAGAGACGGGCTTCCGGCCCCGGTGTTTTCCCGCAGACCTATGGCGACTGCCTGCAGACCGCTCGGAACATCTTCAATCGCGCCCGCAAAATGGCTCAGCGATGTCCGCTGCAGATCGACAAGAGTTTCAACTTCCTGTGCGGGCGCATGGAAGCGTTACGCTGGTTCATGCTGCCAAGCGAGGCGCAGGATCTCCTCCTGGGTAACTCGCAGAACGTCAAGCAGGACGTGCCGTTTAATCCGTTGCTAGCCTGGAACAGATACAGCCACACGAGCACCGCCGCCAGTTGTCACGACAGTCTGGTGAACTGCCTTACGCTGACGAACGGCATGAGGCGGCTGAATAGCGACATTCCGCGTACGGGCAACGCGCCCATCTCGACGATCTCACCGAGGCATCGAAGCCTACCGGCGCTGAGCACGGTGCGTCGTACTCTGATGACGACGGCGGAGCTGAGCCAACCATCGTCGTCGAGCAACAGCGAGGAGGAGAGTCCGAATCAAAACGAACCTTTCTCCGGCGGGCATCGATCGCCCGCCACGTGTCCAAACTCACCGATGCCAGTTAGATTCGCGGTGGGCGAGGCTGTGACCACCCTGGGATCAATATCCCGCACGACCGCTCGACCGACGAAAGAGCAGAGGGAGCCAACGGAGGCCACCAATGCCGGACGCGCGAGATGCAACTCCCTAGGTAGCACCACCGACGGATGCAGCGTACCGGGAAATCGCATCACAGGTGCCACGACGACGTCCTCGCCGATCCCGCCGCTTCCTCTGAGTCCGCAGACTCTGACCAGTTTGGGACTGAGCACGTCGAACGGTACGTCGAAGCACAGACGTCTTCACTGCAGCTGCAGCAGTCAGACGGAATTGAACTCTTTGGAATTAGATTCCGCCGCCAGTCCGAGTCACTCGACCTCTTTCTTGAATTACAATCACAATCCGGCGTCACCGCCGTCTTCGTATTCCTCGACCAGCGATTACACCGAAAGGCTAGTAGGCGGAGGTAGATCATCGCCTATCTCGACGAATATGAGCCAACGTTCCGAGGATGACCTGAGCGCGTACGTGAAAGAGATGACCAAAGAATTAGCGACGGAGATCAAGTCGGAGATTCGCGAGGTGATCTCCAAAGTGGATGACGCCCTGTCGGAGACAAATACATCCGAGAACACGCCGCAGCATCACTCGCGGGCTCAGAGCATTAGCGTTAATCAAACATACGTAGAGGACAAGCAGTCGAGGCACGATTCGTTCACAGCTAGCGACATTGCCGAATACTTGATGGAATTCTCGAAGGAAATGGCGAGCGAAGTAAAATCTGAGATAAGGTGAATACCTAAATAAAATTATTATTATAAAATTTATTTTTATATTTATTCTATAAATTTATTTTTATTTATAAAATTAGAACATTATTATTATTATATGTATGTTAAATTAATTAATTAAAATAATTTTTGGGATTGTCAAAAATTCATGCGAATCTTTTTGATTTTGTTAACAGATGCATGGTGAACGCCGTTGACGGACTTCATAGGTACTCGCCAGACGTCTCCACGTCGGACGTTTCTTCGAGCGGATGTGGTTCGCCCGATCGAGGGAGAATCGTGCTTCCCTCATCGGCGTCTCCGCGTCTTTCGATGTCCAGAAAAAGTGGTTCGATTGAGATCACCAACAAGGTCGGCGAGCTGTCGCAGCAGGAGAGTAAAATGTCCAGCGAGTGCTCCTCGGACGAGACGGTCATTTACGTCATGAAACCGTCCGAGAACGAGCAGATTGTGCGCACTCGCACAAAGACAGAGGATGAGGAAGTGGAGAACGACGTGGACGATTACGTGGACGATGATTCGCAAGAGGGACGTAACGGCCTCGACATCGACGCCCGGAAGGTTCTGCCAAAGATCTATTCGGCCGTGAACTCGGTCAGCTCTCAGGATAGCGGCATAAACATGTCCTTTCAAGAGAGCGACAAGTCGATAGACTCGCTGGATTTGAAACGGAGTAGCAGTGCCGAATCCAATTCCGCGCACAGTCACGGACGGAAACCCAGGACGACGTCGATGATGAGTCTATCGACCAAGTGCACCAGCAAGGTGCGTCAGAACGACAATCTCTCGGAGGATGAGGAGTACACGGGCGATCTGCGAGAGGAAGAGGGCGATGGCCAGGAAAATAATGTTGACGACAACGAGTCCAGACTCGAGTTCCCGCGAACTCAGTGGCACTGTCCACCGAAGAACATCTGGAAACCTTCGGTGGAAGCTATGCAAGAATTTGACATGATTCGAGACAGTGACAAGGTCTTGGTCTGCCTGTCAGCCAATGGCAAGGACTCGCTTTCCCTTCTGCATACTCTACATCAGTACAGATTTTACGTCAGGTCAAAGGGAATCGATTTTGAAATCGGTGCGGCTACCGTCGACGTAGGTGGCTCCGACCCCATGGAATTGATGAGTTATTTGAAGGCTCTTGAGATTCCCTATTTTTACGAGGAACAAGTGACGGATTCAGCCAATGTCAATGTCGACAATCCGTTGGACGCTAGCGTCGCCAGCGGGACCTGCAGTTTCTGCGACAAGTCCGTCAGAACCCAATTATACTCTTTGGCAAAACGAAACGGATATAACGTATTGGCGCTCGGTCAACATTTGGACGATCTCACGGAGAGCTTTCTCGTGTCGGTATTCCACGGTGGCGTATTGAAAACTATGAAGGCTCACTATTACATACGTCGAGAGGATCTCAGGGTCGTCAGACCGTTTATCTACGTGCGAGAAAAGGCACTAAAACAGTTTGCCGAGAGCAAGAAGCTGTCTATCTCGCGAGATTCACGAACTTTGTCCGAGGTAAAATCCACGTGTATTTCGAAAATCAATTTTTAAAAATAATACAAGGTAGCCATTAAATATCTACCTCATTGTAGTCTCTAAGAAATTATTAATAGAATTATTTATAAAGATATACAAGATGTACAAGATGTAGTCTTATCGATCTATCGTTACGTTACAGAAACAAAACAGAACGAAGGAATTGATGCTCCAACAAGAACGCGCATATCCTCGCCTGCACTGGTCCGTGCGCACAGCTCTGCGGCCCTTGATAACCGTTAACCACAGGCAAATTGGCGCCTTTGATTTGGCCTGCAGCGGCAACAGCGGTAATAGTCCTAGCAGCAGCAGCAGCAGCACTAACAGCAGCATAAGTAGCACCTGCAGCAGCAACAGTGGCGGCGGCAACGTCAACAATCAACAGAAACGGCACCGGAGAACCAAGGCGAATCCCTCGGCGAACGCTTCCTCCCAGCGAGTCGACGAGAACGACGAGACCGACGAAGAGCCCGTGCTCTGAGAAGGGCCCACCGCGAGATGGGACCCCGATCGTCCCGCGGTCCCATCCTCGCGTCTCCGTCGCAGGCATCCGACGTCGACGTATGCTCTCGTTCGAAGACGATTGCGCTTCGCGGCCGCGGGCGCCGCCGCCAGAATGAACGATCAAAAATGCGCCGAGAACGGTAATTGAGCGACAATAGCGAGCAGGCGGAAGATTTTGCGAGGGAGGATTTTTCTTCAAGAATTTTGCCCCTGTCTCTGAACGTTATTCGCGAGTGTACGCTTTGCGCATCGCGAGATATTAACGCGGGATAGTTGCCGCATCTTGAACTACGTCTAGAGATTGTTGCAGTGAATAATTGTCGAATACTCGACGGAGTCTTGATTATTAGGCGATTATATCTCGAATCTTGGATGAAGAAATATTACTTTCTTGTAATTCGATAGACTTTTCGATATACGTTTTTGAAGGAGAAAAGACGCGGCCGGCAGAAATGCCACTTACTTAAGCGGTGATAATGTAAGGACTATGTAAGCGTGAATTTTTTTCTGCTTACAACGAATAAGGACATGCTGAATCATGGCATATCGGCAGCCGACTGTTGCGATTGGCTGTTTTACGGAGATACGACACGATGATAATTGATCGATGACGAGTTGATTAGGGACAGAATGGTCGACGAGCGTGACGTACTGTCACATTGTTACGTCAATCGCGTGTTATATTGTTGGCACGGAACGATAAACGGACCGTCGCCACGCGATATACGATTAAGAAACGCGATACACTTGAGAGACGCGATATGCTTGAGAGACGCGATAAGCATTAGCTGCTTAACACTGATACAGATATTATGTGTTACGTATCTTAGAGAAGAAGTCATGCAGCGAGGAGAGAAAGTAGAAGGCAGTTTCACGTGCAAGTCAAAATCTCGCCCGCTCCTGCGGAAGAGAATTGAGTCGCGCGCGACGCAGAGTATACCTTTTTTTATATACATATATTTTTCATTTGATATATTGTCTTTGACATCGCTCTGATAGCTACGATTATTAAGTCGAGAAGTTTTATAAGCAGTCTAGGCTCCCTCGATCGAATCCTTTTCTATTTCTCGACTTCCCCGACGATACGACTTGACGACAGGCCCATTTCTTTGCGGTCAAATAAATGTGTCTTTCAGATGGTCTGTCGGGAATGTCATCTTAGGCGGATTGGTATAACTACCGTTGCATTATTCGATTAATCCGCTTTAAAAAGAAAAAAAAAAAACTTGATCGAACATTTCGTTTCGAGAGGACCACATCGAGAGGTAAAGGCTGCGATGAACTCTCACCTGCATGAACTTCTACTTCGAGAGAAAGGAGAGACATTCACGCATGCACATGACGCGTAAAAGATTAAGCTTCTCTCGAATAAAGCGTATTAAGACATTGGAGACTGTCTAAATATTCCCAAGTGACGTGTAAAAGTCCATTGAGACGTCTGACAAATGAGTAAGACACGTCTGAAAAATTATAAAGTCTTGTCCCCCGCATTGATGGGACAAATACGACAGAGGCTTATAATAAAATATTAATTTAAGCATATGTTGGAAGGAACAAATTTTTCGTTTCTACCCGACAAGATTATATGAATGGCGATCTCCAATGTTTCAAGCTGCAAAACAAAGGCTCTTTCCTCTTAACTGGCATTGCCAAAAAACACGATGACACAATAAAACTGCGCTTTTTTTCACCGTAATTTTATTTATGTAACTCTATCTGCGCTGTGATTAATAAGTTTTATTTCGATACTAAGGAATTAACGATGTCGGATTATTGTTATTTATTAATGAATAGCAGGTAAAAGTCTGATCATCGATTTATTTAAGTGAATTATATAATATGAATTGTTGAAAATTAAAATAAATTAAAATAAATATTAATTCGATAAAACACTAAATTTTCGATATAAAAAAAATCAAATTAAATTTTGTCACATCAAAGACATATTAATTTGTAATGATAACAAAAATTTAAATCTAATCGTATTGATAATTCGACAATCGCGTTGATAATTCGTAATTTTTGTTTAAATTATAATTTTGCCATCAAAGAGAAAAATAGTTGGGGCGATGAAATTAAGCTAATTCGAATTAATTCGTTAAGTCGACATTTGGTGGCTTTGATCACGCAACGAAGTACACAATGTACAAAGGGGATTCTTATAAGAATTATTTCGTACGGTATTTTAGAATCATTGTAATAAAGACATGGATGATGTTACGGTGGAGAAAGGGAGCGCGCATAATTGGACCACGTAAACGCCAGTCGAGACGATTAGCCGAATAAGGAAATTTTAATAAGGAAAGGCATAAGGAAACTTAAAGGGACAGTTTGCGTAAAGCCAATATCGGTTTTTACCGTATGAATTTCCGGTAAAATATATATGCCGATAGGCATCGATCGCTATGTCGATTATGATACTTATAGCAGCAGCGGTCTTATGTTGTTCACTTCTTCTCTCATGTTTGGCTGTTGTACGCTCGCTAATCGTTAGTACTATAAGTAACGTTTAAGACTTGTACGTAGATCGCATATGAAACAACATACGCAACTTAGACGATAATCATAAAATATTACACTATGTACGTACCGTTTGCGTCGTACTGATTTTTTTAAAGTGTTCGTTCATTCGTTCGTTCATCGTTGAATCGAGGACGTGAAAGGCGGAATTTAACAACCAAATGCGATAAGCGAGATGGAAGTTTTGATCTACACGAATCTTCGCGAATAGATATTCTCATATTTTCCGAGAAGTTACGAGAAAGGGACATTGTTACTGTAAAGATATGTAAGTTTATTTATCACTAATAAAAATGAACGTTTAAGAAAAAAAAGAACGGTTCGATTTTCCACCGGATAATTAAACAATGAGTAATGTCAAACAAATAATATTCGAGGGATAAAAAAAAAAACAGCAGCTCGAATTATTCAAATCATTAAATCAATAATCAGCAGTTAGAAAGAGAACAATTGCTATAAATATTCAATATCAGATATGGAAATATCTTGAAGGGATGTTTTAGAAAATAGGGGGGGGGGGAGGGATAAATAAATAATACAACCAAAGCTGTGTATTTTTTAGCGATTTATTAAATCCTTTAAAATATTTGAAACAGCGTGCGACTTTGTTATTGGCGTAACAGTGATATAGTCGTTTAAGGTACGTAATACGAGGAGGGCAAAGCGAGCGAAGATCGATGTGAGGTTCGCTCGCCGGTCGCCGGATGACCGGACGATCGTTTTCTGGGGAGAATCGTGGTGGATCCATCGACCCGGCACAGTAAATGCAGATCGTCGGGATTGGAGCGAGCGACGAATGATCCTTCGGTCCTTTCTTTTCCCTTCTCGCTCGCTCGCTCGCTCGCTCGCTCGGCGATCGCGCCATCGCGACATCGGCATGCATCGGCGCGATCCGCGGAGAAGTTGCGGTGCGTCTGTTTCTCTTAAGATTATTTTATTTTCTTTTTTTTTTTTTTTTTTTCTTTAAATAGAATGTAACGTTATCTAGTATTGGATGAGAGTAAAATCGAGGAAAAAAGTCCACATACGAGACGGAATTCATTATACGGTCTAATCGAGCTTATATTTTAAAGTCGCCCAGCGCGAAATCGAGAGATTCGGAAAAGAGTAGAGTCGGCGAAAAGCCGTGTCGCCTCCTTGATATCGAAGCATATCGGGATCGGGAATAACATGCGAGATAAATTATTTACTTCTCAACTAGTTTAA